CGATCGGATTTGTAAGCATCGGACTCTTCATTCTAATAGGGGCTGAACATGTATGCCACAGTTTTAGACATGCCCATATGTATTTGTGGTGCACAGAACGCAATGCCCGATGCGAGCGTGCAGCGCTTCCTTTCTTCACGTTCACGGGTTAGTGACACCACTTCGGAGCATTTCGCGTGCGGTTTACTCAATACACGTTGCGCCCCTGTTGGGCCAACCCTTTCAGTGCGTGTATTGAGGACAGCCTGCACGGTATATCAGGAAGCGTGTATTGCGCTAACGTGTGTGTGATCAATATATCATGTCATCGTGTGAACCTTTACTCTGGCCTTAACTGTAGTTGTAAGCAAACTCAGAATTACTTGTAAAAGTACTGCTTATGAGTAGTGGGGGGGACAATCCAGCACAATTTGACCTTGGACCTCGACAGAGGAAAAGGTCACATAAATATGTATAGAAATACATATGTATACAAATATGAATAATAATGAAATGAATAGTCATAAAGCGATGGAAGGAGGCGTAGGGTGAAAAAGGCAGATTGACCTTTTGTATAGTATAATATAGTGTATAAATAGAGTGATACATAGGGAATATAGGGAATAGGGTAAAAATATGAAATAATTCCTACACAATGGATGGCACGGCCAGCCGGACGGGTACCGAGAGAATCCCTACACAATGAACCGCCGGACTGGCAATGAGATAGTCCCTAGACAATGGAACGTAATGGGTCTGGGGCGACGTTGGCTCGGACAATGGACGGCTCGGGGTGCCAAAGGATGGAGCCTTGGACAATAGTTGGGGTAATTCGGAAGACGACGCGCTTGGACCGCGGTTCTTTGTTCGGGCGGGTTTAATGGAACGTGAAAGAAGTTAATGAGTCGCAGGGGATAATCCGATGGTTTGGCAAACACTAATAATGAAATTCGGGAGTGAGAGGAAAGTTTGAAGGCAATGACGCAGTAATTCAGATGTATTTTTGATTCGAAAGGTAAGAGAGATGGATATGGGCCAGGAAATACAAAACGGGCAAACAGAGGGATGTCCCATGTACCTGGCCTCTGAAATAACAGAGCGACAGCTGGCAGAATTGGCTGGTAATTTCGTCAAAAAACGGGAGGGAGCTTGGGAGGACCTCCTGATATCTCTGGGTCTTTCTAGGGCCGATTTGTACAGACACAAGGAAGAAAATAAGTATAATCCGTGGGCACAATGTTTTAGCGCATTCGTTCAATGGAAACGTCATCATTATAAAAAAGCTACGATCGAAAGGCTTCTTGCGGAGTGTCAACGGTGTAACGTTTCGGTGGGAGTGTACGAATTTCTGTATCCATAATAGATTCATATAAAAGTGATGAGTCATCATCTATGTATGGAAATGATCTCATATCTGTGTTTGGAAATGATTTCATTATCTATGTTTGAAAATTACATCACGTTTCATTCAGAAAAATGATATAAAAATCGCGCAAGGGGTAAAGGGACATCAATCTGGTCTAGTCGAGCCAAGATGAACTGTCCGAAAAAATCACGAGCCGTGTGGTCCCCCGTATGCAACGCGTTGCCGTCGTGTAGACCTACCCATAGTTGGGATATGGTCGGCAGTCTTAATACAATCTCCGAACGTCGTAATGAGAAACCTACGATAGACTCGAACAAACCAGACCAAATTAAACCGGAAGAGAGAATGACTGCGTCATCAAAGATCTTGGAGAAAACCATCAAAGACTTAACCTTTGTACAGAGATTGAAATTAAAGAACGATCGATACATTGTTATCGAGAAGTTTCGGGATGTACCTTACGTAAAGATAAGGGATTACCACCAGACCAAACAGAAGGGCTTCCCATTGGCTCCCGGACGAGGGATTAACCTCACGGTTCCGGACTGGGAGCTGCTCAAGACAATGATACCGGCAATTGATGAAGCTATCAAAGAAGTGGACGACGCTTGCATCGGATAGCCCCAGATGCGTGAAAATGAACAAAGAACGGTAAAATGCTTAAAAGGGGTAGAGTTGGCCCTCGAGGCCCATCTTGCTCCAATGCAACCATCAGCACCGACAACACTTTCTGCACCGTCATCATCGCCGTTTTTTTACCAGTAACCACCGGTAATCATGGCACAGAAATTTTTTGGACCCAACTTCAACGCCAAGGAGGAGTGGGCGAGACCAGACGGTTTCGTGGCTGCTAGCTGGGAAATGGGTAAGTTACGTTCGTTATCAATGCCACACTCTCGTACGACCATTTGTCATAAACCTCGCGGCTACCTACATTCCTTCCGTATGACTTTATTTATTTCTTGTCACACGCAGATATTGAACAAGCCGATTTGGTCGGAGTACAGGAGGCGGAAGTCATCGACCTGACCTCGCCCGATGACGGTAAGTTTCGGCGTTCGATGTACATGTGCGTGTATTTTGTCGTCGTCTCTGTAATGCCGGCGATGTTTTAATACAAACAGATTTGTATCATTTGGTTTTCTTCATTTCTTGTCACACGCAGATATGGAATATGTCGAATTGATCAGAGTACAGGAGGCGGAAGTCATCAACCTGACCTCGCCCGATGACGGTAAGTTTCGGCGTTCGATGTACATGTGCGTGTATTTTGTCGTCTTTGTCTCTGTAATGCCAGCAATGTTTTAATACAAACAGATTTGTATCATTTTCTCACAGACGACGATGTCTTTTTGCCATCCCCCGCAGCAAGCCCACCAGTCAACCCTGAACTGGACAGCCCGGCTCCCGGCGCCCTGTTTCCTACTCCTCCACCAAGCCCACCCATCCTACTGCCCAACGAGGACCTCTTCACTGAGGCTACGGTCTACCTATACACGCACGTGGCAATGTTTATTAATTTAATTTTTCCTAGTTTTATTGCAAGCAGATGTGGGGGGTGTGAAATCGATCACCCCTCACAAACCCAGCACATATGTGTCATGGAAGACAAGGAAATGTTGCTCAATTGGTTTTTGAGGGACATGTTGGAGGAGCTGTGTGACGATTGACTTGAAGAGTGTATTAATACATGGGTATACGAAGTACAACAAAATCAGGAATTATCTTTACACTACGCGCATTTGGACATGGCTATATTAGATCTTTCGATGTTTTTGTGTTTTGAGTTGCAGCAGGCGGAAAAATTAGAAGTGTTGAGACAATTTATTTCTAGAACTGGGGGTTTCTTCAGGGCTGTTGACACAGGGTTCCTCCTTTTTTACTTCATTTTTTTTCTTTGTTTTTTCAAGTAATGTATAGTTAATGGTTTGAAATGTGTAATGTAATTTGTGTTTGAAATAAAATGGTTGTTATTGGGAATAGTTTGCGTCGCTTGTTTGTATTTTGGTTTGGGTCAAATAAGAAAAATAATTAATAAAGAAAATTAGGCAAAGAAATAGATGAATAAATCAAAATAGAAAATAAGGGAAATGGAGAAATGAATAATGATCAAGAAAGGAAATAAAACAGAGGCATTAAAAAGGGGTTAAATCATATCCAGCGGTCATTTCAAACTTTGACCTTGACAAGGCA